TACAACGAATATAAAGCCTTTTTTTCTAGCCTGGAACTTCCTTAATATCTTATCGAAGGTTCACGATGAGCGAGTTAATTATGAGTCGATGTAGGTACGATTCGCTTAACGGGAAGCTAGCTAGCTTTGTCCTTCACTGATCGCACGCCGATTTTTCCACCGGTGACGTTATGTAATGTTTTCGTAAAAATACTAATGTCCGATGAGAATCCACTGAAGTTAAATGAGTTGTAATGTTCGAACATTGGAAATGCTCCTGGTCAAATATCTGAAGTTTTACAATTGGTAAGCGTTATAGCAGTCACAGTTATAGCTTCCGAAGTTTTATAGCACACTGATCAGAGCGAACTAATAATAGATACTCTCTTTAGCGCGTCGCGTCGCTTGAGTTATATTTATAGGCTGCGGAGGCGTTCTAGAAATTTCAGTTTTACATAACAATACAAACTTAAGCGTTTATACACACACATATTGTTGATTATTACTCTTTAGAATCTTCTACAAATTTGAAGAATAGGCGGGAGTTTCGCAGTACCTATTTAACACTATAAGCTACGCATGTTTTAAAATATAAACTTAATATTAAAAAAAAAGTTGAAATTAAAATAAATATTTAATAACAAATTCGTTACATCTTGGCTCTATAATATAATAAAGGCCTTTCTGATGTTACTATATAGAAACTGCAATAGTTAGTTGTAGTGCACGTTCTTGCTACGAACCGTTAGTAATTTTTCATTCTTTATCTCTATGTCAACTGAGCAATCTTGAACACCAAATGATACTTGTACAGTATTGCATCAGCCTTTTCGGTAACCAAATTTGTTCGTGCTGTGTAGGATAATCAATGAAATGGAGGAAAAAACTAGATGCTTGGGGTTGAGCGAGGATAAATATTACTTCGTACCATGAAGTCAGACATAAAAAGAATGTCAACAATACGGAAAGTGCACCTGGGACATATTAACGTCATTGTCTAAAAGCTAAGGTATAGCAAAGAGACGACAGTTTTAGATAGAAATGAAAGA